GGAGCCTGTTTCGGATTCTGTGTCTCCTTCTCTCTCTGTTCCTCCCCCCTTGTGCTCTGACTCTCTCTCTCTCTCTCTCTCTCAAAAATAAATAAACATTAAAAAAAAGTTGACCTCATTTGGCTCACTTCATCTAATTAACATTTTTGTCTTTCTATTCTGTCAACATCCACTGTGTCACTCATGGAGGAAAAAGAGGTCAAGGCTGCTAAGCATTAATGATTTCTTTCATTAAACGACACCTACTTATTACTGTGAGCACTGCGAGTTAGTACCCCATTTCCAGCTGGAGTCTGAAAGAAAATCATCTCTGGAATCTCTGAAGAAAAACTATAAATAAGTGGGCCCCAGACTCAGGTATCATAAATATTGATGTAATTAAATCGACCATACTTCTCACATACAAGGAAAAACACAGAACTCAATGGTAGGCAATTTGACCATTACATGATGTATCTAAATAATCAGAAATTTTATATTTTCCCTAAACCATCACCAAAATAAGAGATCTGTTCTCAATATTACATAGATGTATAGTTGTACTAAGAAGAGAGAAAAGCATAAAAAGTAATTTGAAATCCATTATATTTGGCTTTAAAGTCAGAGGGAACATAAGCAACAACATACAATAAGTGAAAAAGAATATTATCAAATATTATATGAAGGAAAGAATCCCACTTTGGTGGAGGAAACATTTCTTATATAAGTTCAGTAAATATTCAAAGATTCATCTAATCATTATTTACTTATATTTATACATTTATATGATACATAATTTTCAATATTCCAAACCAACATCACACCCATCCTATTTGCCGAGAAACTAAATTCCGCATGTTTCTTATGCTAATGCAAACTTTTTATCCTGATCCTTAAGTCAGATCAAAAAATATGAGAAAATACCAGACATCTGATTTCTTCCCTGCTTAGCTTAAAAAGGAAGACTAAATCAGGGGCGCCTGGGTGGCTCCGTCGGTTAAGCGGCCGACTTCGGCTCAGGTCATCATCTCGAGGTCTATGAGTTCGAGCCCCGCGTCGGGCTCTGTGCTGACAGCT